CACTCTTCTGATTTGCACTTTAGAATAAAAATCTGCTTATGTTTAATGCTCACTGGCATGAACCAACTCTCTGTTTAGGTAGAAATCTGAACCATTTGATGTTATTCTTTTTTTTTTTTTTTAAATATATTTTATTGATTTTTTACAGAGAGGAAGGGAGAGAAATAGAGAGTCAGAAACATCGATGAGAGAGAAACATTGATCAGCTGCCTCCTGCACATCCCCCACTGGGGATGTGCTCGCAACCCAGGTACATGCACTTGACCGGAATCAAACCTGGGACCTTTCAGTCCGCAGGCTGACGCTCTATCCACTGAGCCAAACCGGTTTCGGCTGATGTTATTCTTATAGATTGGACTTAGTGCTCTTTCAGGAAAAATAATAAATTATTTTACTAGTTAACTTTAAAAGAGCCTCAAAAAACTATGGTGTTAAAAAACGATTCAGAAATAAGTAAACTTTTAAATGAGGACCATTGATGTGAGGGGTGCAAGAGTAAATTACTGCCAATGTTTTAGATTTCTCTATGTCAGTGTATAAAATGAAATAAACTTAAAATATCATTATAACATTCGTTTTAGGGGACAGAGCTATTGGTGTTTTAGCAGATGCAATTTAACCTAGCATTATTACAATTTTATAGTAACGACAAGTGTTATAAAAAGGATGCATTAATATTTTCTTCTCTGTAGATTGTAAGTTTTTGTTGTTGTTAATGGGGGCTGCTGCTTATGATATGTATGTCTGTGCTGAAAAACTATGCATGCTTGAGTAAGGAATTAATCTCATGATTGTCATTCTGTCATTTTCCTTGGGTTTTCACTTGAGACAATTTTACCTGCTACTCTTTTTTGTTGTTAATCCTCACCTGAGGATATTTTCCCATGGATTTTTAGAGAGAGTGGAAGGGAGGGGGAGAGACAGAGAGAGAGAGAGAAACATTGATGTGAAAGAGACGCATCAGTTGGTTCCCTCCCGCACACATCCAAGGTATGTGCCCTTGACCAGAATCGAACCCAGGACTCTTCGGTCTGTGGGCTGACGCTCTATCCCACTGAGCCAAACCAGCTTGGGCATTACCTGCTACTCTGTGATTGCCACAGGTTCACTTTCAGCGGTGAGCAAGCAGTTCAATAATGTTTTCCTATTGTTGCATTTCAGTTATATTTTAAGTCAGGTTTCTTATGTAGTACTTGAAATGGCCAAATCTGTATTTTCCCCTATACAGGTAATATAAAGTTATAATAGGCTTAGCATTTATAATGAAAATGTCAAATACATGCCTTACTAGCTTTTAAAGTAAGTGTATATATGTGTGTGTGTGTTGGTGGTGAAGTGGCACTAGGTGTTAGACCAGTAGAGTCAGACTGGACCTTGCTTCAGCAACCTCGGTACTTGAGTTCTGGCTAAGAAAGAATTCAGAGTCAAGACTACAAGAGAAAGTTAGTTTAGAAAGTAACAGAGGTAGGAGAAGTGAGCAGGAGAAGAAATGCACTCAGGAAACAAGCTACAGAGGAAACGAAGGGCCCTTAGAGCTTAGGAGAAAGAGGGAGGCAAGGAAAACGTGCCTGGGGGTTGGGGGTGAGAAAAGGGAAAGGTGAGGGCGTGCTCCAGAGAGAGAGAGAGAGAGAGCCACGCTGGGTCCATGCCCAGAGGTTGTTTATCCGGAGGTCTCAGGGGAGGGTCTCAATAGAATATTCATCAGCTTTCCAGGCCTGTCCTTTCAGGGTCGTGGTCTCTACCGATTGGTCAGCACCAGGGCAGAGGGTCTTAGAGTATGCAGCTGTTCCTGAGGTCAGCCAAGGTGTTGCTTTTCTGGTTTTGCTGCTTTTCTGGGTCTGGAGCTGAAACACAACTGAGGCTTAGATGTATTTGATGGGTCAGAATCTCATTGTCCTGGGGGCTTAATGCTTAAGAGCTGTTCTCCACCCCCCTGTTTGTCCTCCCGCTAAGGGGGTCTAACCAACATGACTAGCGGCATGTCGGGAGAGGAAAGGGCTGGGGAGGGGGTGAACCCCATGACTTGCGACATACAAGGGGAGGGAGGGTTACCCTGAGGGCGAGGTCCTTGTATTCCTAGTTTTGCCTATTGCTAGGCACCCAGGGCGTTCTGTCCTGGTGACCTTCTGTACCTGTCCTGGCTCTGCTCATGCCTGTCTGACTGTCTACCACATTTGTATTTCGCATTTACCATTAGGTTTACCAATAAATTTGAGACCATTTCATTTATATATACCTTTTGATTTAGCTTTTCTTGTTGGCCTTTTTTTCCAGTAAGTTTTTAAATTATTGCCGTAAGTACAGAGGTTTTATTTTCTCCCACGCATCTTGCACATAATAGGCACTCCACAAATATTTGTCGAGTTGAATTTAATCTTCCTCCATGGTAATGAAAAAGTGAGTTTGTGAGCACACATTTCAGCTGCTCTTAATAAAGGTGGCTGAGCAAGCGTACTAACCTTCCTGTGGAAGAATTCCCAGGTCAGAGAGCCTGCATTTGACATTGTTAAGAATATACGGTGATTTGAATGAGTTAGTTTGCTCTAGACATGTATATCTTATGATTAAGCCAATGGTCCCTTGGAGTTTGATAAATGTTTTTATTCATTTTTCCTTTAGTCAAACATGTTGGTGATTAATTCTGCCATCTCCATGCATTTAGCTGAAATCTTACCCTCTCAACTTTGCTGGTTATCTGTGTTTTGTTGTAATAAGACTCTGTATGTTAAGTCTATGAAATCCATTGTCAGGCATTACAAGTTATATGCAAGACTTGGTGATATCAGCATATAGAGTTCATCTACAGGACTTGGGGATGAGTCATTTGCTCTCCTTTCCTGCAGTCTCCCTCCATTCTCTTCTCATTTGCTTTTATTGTTTTGTTTTTTCCTTTTGTTACCCTCTTTTTCTGACTGGATTGCTATTAGTGTAGTCTTTGCGTTGGTGACACAATCAGTAGCAGGGTATGAGCGGTCGTGATAAGAGGAGTCACACACAATCACATCCAGATATCATGGTACTAGACAGGAGATAACCTTTCTGTGTCCAAGCACATGAGCAATCTGTTGGCACACCTTCCAACAGAGACAGAAATCTGGGCAGATCTGAGGGTGCTGAAAGGGGCACATATGTGGCTGACATCAGAAGAGAGAGCTTGAAAGTAGACCTTGTGTCCTCACACTTGCCTTCTTTTTTCTTCAAGCCACTCTTGCTGCTTCAGTCATTTATTTACCAAACGTGTTTGATTTTATGTTCTTTGGTGGAAATGGCCTCTCTTTCTCTTAAGAAAACTTTGTAGATCTTTACTGGAAAGACAATAACTGCTAAAGTACTCAAGGCTCTATTTTTTATCTAATATTGCTATTACCTATTCCCTCATACCTAGTGTCACATCTGTCTACCTAATATTGATATTAGATGATATTTTACCTTTTGCTGTGACATAACCAACCCTGATGCCTAGTTTAATGCCTGCACCATAGCAGCAGCTTAGTATGTGGTGGCTATCATTATTAATAACACTTTTCACATCAATAATGTTATATTAGTTAAAATATAATTATTATTAATATATAATTTTATGTATCATTCAGTAAAATTAGTGTCAGTAGGTACAAAGCATTAAGTATAATTGTGACATTACATATTCAGTGTTTGAAAAAGCAATTATAAAGCACAATGCTGTGAGAAATAAAAGGATATTATACAGAAATAAAAGGGTGATATGCAGAAATAAGAGGGTGATGTACAGAAATAAAGGGTAATGTACATATTCTTCATTCTATCCCGTCTTCTACATTTTCAGGACTATTGCATACCTTTATCTTCCCCACCTGAATGGCTTCTGTTTCTTCCCAATTTATATTCATGACTCTGATATAATTTCTTTTCAGCCAACATTGCTGGTGGATAAAGATTTATAAAATTAAATTTGATCATGTCAGTCACCTCATTCAAGTCTTTAGACAGAAGGTCTCAAACTTTACAGCATAAAGTTATCTGGAGTAAGCATTAGACAGATTTTGACCCATTCCCAGGGACAGATTCAGGCCAGCCGTCAGGCCCGGGAATCGGTGTTTAAGAAGCACCTCTGGTCCTAGCTGGTTTGGCTCAATGGATAGAGCGTTGGCCTGTGAACCAAAGGGTCCTGGGTTCGATTCCGGTCAAGGGTGTGTACCTTGGTTGCAGGCTCCTCCCTGGCCTTGGCCCTGTTTGGGGCTCATGCAGGAGGCAGCCAATCAATGTGTTTCTCTCACATTGATGTTTCTCTCTGTCTTTCCTCTCTTCCACTCTCCCTAAAAATCAGTGGAAAAATATCCTCAAGTGAGGATTAAAAAAAGAAAAGAAAAAAGAAGAAGCACCTCTGATGATTCTGAGAAGCACTGTGTTAGTGGCCTGAGCCCGCAGGACACAGCCCTGACTCCGTGTGGACGGACCTTCATGCTCTCTAGGAGCACCCAAGCATCCGTTGCATGGTCAGAGGATAGCACTGTCTTATAGAATCTAAGTAGGCTTGAACGTGTTCTCTGTTGAGGGAAAGGAATCTGTGAACAGGGAGAGATGGACGGTGAAGTAGAAAAAAGAGGGATTTGATGGTGCAGCAACTTAAAAGCACAAGAAGCCATGATAAATGCATTATTCTCTCGGCTGGAACCATAGTTCATTCTCAGCGATAGAATTTACATAGGCGTTATTGCAACAAATTTTAATTTGTTCTATGAGTAAAAAGACTCCTGTCTTCAATAATAAGCTTTTATTTCCTTCTTAAAAATGAATGAGCAATTTTATTATTATTTCAGCATAAAGTTCTGATCATATAAGTTCATATTCTGTACATGCTGCTGATTGGCAAAGTTAGTGAGTTACTCTTAATGGTACAGATACTTAAAAAGACAGCTTAACAAGTGTTTAAATGCCTTTGACTATTAGGTGTTTCATTAATGAATATATGAAATTAAACACTTTTAATTATAACCATCTTTTAAAAATATTCATTGCAGGGAAATTTGCCTAAATATTCTCATAACTCCCTGATGGTTCAAGCAATAAAGACAAACCTAACAGACCCGGACATACATGTGCTTTTCTTTGATGTGGAAGCGCTGATTATTCAACTCCTGACTGAAGAAGCCTCTAGGCCGAACACGGCGCTTATTTCCCCTGAGAATCTGCAGAAAGCATCTGGCAGGGCAGACAAAGGGGGCTCTTTTCTAACTGGAAAACGAGCAGCGGTTCTCTTCCAACAAGTGAAAGAAACCATCAAAGAGAACATAAAGGAGCACCTCCTTGACGAGGAAGAGGAGGACGAGGAGACCATGAGGCAGAGAAGGGAGGAGAGTGATCCTGAATATCGGGCCAGCAAATCGAAGCCACTGACCCTGTTAGAATATAATTTGACTATGGACACTGCCAAGTTGTTCATGTCCTGCCTTCATGCCTGGGGCTTGAACGAAGTTCTGGATGAAGTTTGTCTCGATCGCCTTGGAATGCTGAAGCCCCACTGCCCAGTGTCGTTCGGTCTCTTATCGAGAGGCGGTCATATGTCACTGATGCTTCCTGGTTATAATCGGGCCGCCTGTACACTGCCACACAGGAAAGCGGAAGAAGAAAGGAAGCTTCCAGCAATGGAGGGAGTAGGCAAGGGCACGTACGGGGTGTCTCGAGCCGTCACCACACAGCATCTCCTGTCGGTCATCTCTTTAGCAAATACCTTGATGAGTATGACCAATGCAACTTTTATTGGTGATCATATGAAGAAGGCCCCTACCAGGTGTGACCATGATAGTTTTGATTTTATTCTTTTGTTTCAAGAAAAAGAAACCTGTTTTATGTTTGTCACTGTTTATAACACCCTCCCCCCCTTTTTTTTTGGTTCTACCCACTGTAGCATTTTTGGGGCATCTCAGTGTTTCTCCCCTTTTAAATTATATGTATAGTTTAAAACCGGATAAAATTATATAGTTTCATCTATACTCAGACATACTGTCTAGCTATTTTTAAAAAATTTGCAGTGAGGGAGTAGGTTACAGTTCAGCTTTAATAAACGAATTATAGAGTAGCATTTCAGCAAATATAATCTTAGAATTATATCCAACTAACGTTTGCACCAACACTTAATTCAAAATGTATGTTTAGTTAAATGTTTCTCTACATTGTGACCCATATGTAAGGAATAATATGTGTTGAGTGATTGTTTTAAGAATATCTGACGAGTATAGTCAGAATACTTATCCTGAATTACTATTTCCTGTTTTCCAGAAGTCATGAAGGCTACTTTTTAAACTGTGGTTTTATTATACTTTAGAGCAAGTTGACAATGTTCAGATTTTTTTTTTTTAATCTAACAAACACTTAAGTAGCACTTTGTGTCTGGCTTGTAAGCACTGTACAGATATTTTCTCAATAAGGCTCTTAACCCTATAAGGTAGGTACTTTTATTATATTTTATTACAGGTAAGAAAACTGAGACACAGAGAGGTTAAGTAACTTGTCCAAGGTCACACAGGCAGTAAGTGGTGGAGCCAGAATTCAAAATGAGATAGTTTGCCTCTAGTGTCCAAGCTTTTTTAATGCCTTATTACTTTTTTCAGATTTTAAGGCTGAATTCTTTTAAACTCAATGTATTGTTCCATGAACTCATTTAGACCAATGATATGGGATGGACTGTAATTGCAGCATGCTAATAGTGAACAGTGAAGAACTAATCATGACATTTATGTCACTAACAGTATGTTGAAGTGTTCATAAATATTTCGTAAGCTAGAGTCACTGATAATATCTTGAATTGTTCATATTTTTAAGCTAGAATAAAGCATAAGTTGTAGCTGTGAAATTCTTACTTGCTATATGCTAATTATTTAATTTACTATATTAAAATTTGAAATGGAAAATATTAATAGGTACAAAACAAGCAAAAATCCCCATCTTCTTGGGACAGTAAATTGAAAATGTCTGTATGTGTTTCTTTTGTAATTAATTTGTAATTAGAAAGTGTAATATTTTAAATTGTTCAGGAAATATAAAAATATGAATACATATATACCATTACATGTCTTTTCTTCTTTAAAGAAAAATTTTTTTTTCTTTTTCTTATTTTTTTTTTTGAAAGGCCACCTAGACCAAGCACCCCAGACCTTTCTAAGGCCCGGGGTTCCCCTCCAACTTCCAGAAATATTGTGCAAGGACAAATTAAACAAGGTAAAATGAAATCTTATTAAGTAATTGACATGGCATCTTAGCTGTAGAAACTGAGGAGGCACAGCTAATGTATAATCATAACATTTTGTTTGTCTCAGATTGTTAAGCGAGAGAAAAGTTGTTATATTCCAGATGTAAATATAGATAATTAAGATGTCAGTTAAAAATAAATCAGATTTATTTAGAAATTGATAAATGAGCATATTTCACATAATTTTATTGTACTGCCTTTGGCCTTATTTTTATGCATTAAGGGCACCTTAACTTGACACATTGGTGCCTTATTTATGTTCATCTTGACTTTAAAACTTATACCTGTTGTTTAACTACATTTTAAATTGTTAAGTTTATATTTCTATACTCTAGCTATTCTTCTCCCATTTGCCAGTAGTTCATGCATTGCAAACCACAAGTGAAAATCCTTTCTTTTTATTTAAATCATTAGATTTTAACTTTTGTCTGTAGCTTTTTCATTAGGTGATAGAAGAAGAAAGGTTGAGTTTCTCTTTATTATCTTTTATACTCATTTTAGGGCTGACAAGTGAGCTCAGCAGAGAGTTGGAGGTGGGGCAGGGTCTCTTCCACTCTGTGAGAGCGTTCCTTCCAGCTGAGAGTCGTGACTCACAAGATGTGGTAGAAGTAAGAGAGGATGAGGAAGGTTCTGCTTATAAATGATGACATTTTAGAGTGTTCTTTTTTTTTTCTTTTAGATTTAAAATTATACAGTTTTAAACCTCTTTAGGTTTTAAAGAGTCATTGATTTGCTAGGTAAACAGCAGGTCTCCTACTTCATAGCTACAATTTTCCCCTTCCCTGGGACAAGGACTTTCTCTCTCTTAGCTGATTATTTGGCATGTATTTTAATGCCTTAAGTGGGATGCTTGATTTTAGTTTTGGATACTGTCTGTTGGCTTCTCATTATGGAAGACCAGCTCTCACAGTCTCTACACCACTCCCATCCTTCATTCCAACTCCACCTGGTCGGTCACCCCTCTTGTTTATCAGTTTTCGCATTAAGCTTATATGTTATTTTATGGTTTATATTAGATTATATAAAAGTTAATAGTTTGGGTTATATAACTCTTTATACTTGTATACTGTATATAAAATGTAATATACATCTAGAAAAGTGCACAAAACAGATCTGTAGTTCAGTGACTTGTGCAAGCTAAACACCTTTATCAGGAAACAACAGTGCAGTGTTCCCAGAGCCTCCTTCAGATTCCCTCCCAACCAGACCTCCCCCTGCCAGAGGCAACCATCCTGACTTTCAAGAAATCACTTTCTTTCTTTCCTTTGTAGTTGCACCCCCTAAGTTTAAATTCCTAAACATAGTTTGCCCATGTTTTGAATTTTATATGAATTCAATCAGTCATGGAGGATGTATTCTTTTGTATTTGGCTTCTTTTGTGAGATTTATCAATATTGTTGCATTAGACTGTGGCTTGTTCACTTTCATTGTTCATTTTTATTACTGTATAGTGTTCTGTTGAATGAATAGACCACAGTTTATTCATCCATTCATCCTGTCAATAGACATTTGCATTATTTCCAGTGTTTGGTTTTCATAAATAATTCTGCTATGGACATTCTTGTATTTGAATCTTAGTGTACATTATAAGCATTTCTGTTGTGTGTGTAACTCAAAGTGGAATTTCTGCATATATTTATCTTCAGCTTTAGCAGCTAACGTTAATGTGTTTTTCTAAGTGAGAGATGAATATACATCCGTCAAAATGGCTAAAGGGAAAAAGATGGAAAATATTGTTGTGCTTTTATGACGTGTTGGATGTGATTGGAGCAGTGCTATATGCCTAAAGCTAGCTGTTTCCCATCGCCAACACAAGCCCTTCCTGAGTACTTTATCCAGTGCTCGATGAATTAGGGATTTTCCAGTCAGGCTGCTAGGAGCAGGCACTGTCTCTGGCCCTTTGGTAGGTTCTTTCCCAGCCTGGAGTTGTTTCCTAACACACATGTACTCATCAGTACTCTGCTGAGTGTCTGAAGAACCTTGATCTTCGTAGCTCTCTCGTCTCTGTCCTGTGAATTCTAGCTGCCCAGTTTCCTGAGACTCAGCTGTCTTCCCAACTCAGGGAAACTGCTGGGCTCTTCCTCAGTTCCCCTCCCTCCCTTCTTGCATCTTGTCCTAGAAACTCCCCCAAGGCAGTGAGCTGAGGAGTTCATAGGGTCACTTTGTCTTCCTGACTCTCAGTCCCTCTTGATGTCCTGTGGCCTGGAACCATTGCTTTATGTATTTTGCTTTGCTTTTTTATGGTTGCATCCTGGCCAAAAATAGAAGTTCTTCTTTTCACATGTAAAATGTTCTGACTATACTATTATCTTATAAAGTAAAAATTCTTTATTTTGTATAGTTTTCACATTTTTAGAGCATTATTTCAGAGAGAAATGGGAACAGACCCACACAGGTATGACATAAAGTACAGATATTGTGATTAGAACACAAGCAGCCCCTTTCAGCTCTAGATCTAAATTCATTGACAGCATCTTTCAGATTATATGGTACAAATCAGTGGCAGGACTCCCCTACGTTTAGTTAGTTTAAAGCTTCATTTAAAATCTGTTCTTGTTAGAGATACTACTTGTCATCATCATTATCTTCATTATCATTCTTTACTGTTGATGTTTCTTCTTGGATTACATTTTCGTCCCTCTGTAATTATAGCGATGCAAGCACTTGATTTCTTAAAACAGAAAAGCTGCCGTGCCAACTACCAACGTGCTTCTCTTCCTAAGGATTAGTGAAACACCAGGCCAAATTATTTCAGCACAGCCTCACATGGGGATAGACTGACACAGGTCTATTGTTCAGTTCTAGAAATAACTTTTTCAGCTGTATTATTTTTCATTAAATCTTGAGCTTTTTATTTTGGAAGTGGTACTTTTTCTTATTTCTATTGCTGATTTTTTTCTGTATGTGAAAAATGTATTTAAGAGCTGTAGGGTTAAAAGCTCTAGCAGCATTTAATTTCAATATTCTCAATTAATTATGAAAGTAGTTTCAGTTATGACATAGACTGATTAAAGTAGTGTAAATAGCTTTTTCTTTATGAGATGTCTATTTAAACAGGATTCCAGAAATATAATACCCAGAATCTGTTTATTTTTATCATTAAAAATAAAGATACTTATATTGAACACTGTTTTATTAAGACAGATTATTCTATCAGCTTTGTCAGTAGCATTTCTAGTTTCCTTTAGACTTGTGACTTAGAGAAAACATTCTAGTTTAATCCCACTATTTGACCCATGTAAGATAATGATTGTTTAGCCCTACAATTTTATTTACTTACTAGAGGCCCAGTGCACAGATTTGTGCACCGGTGGGGTCCCTTGACCTGGTGTGCGGGCATCGGGCCAAAACTGGCTCTCTGACATCCCCCGAGGGGTTCTGGATTGTGAGAGGGCGGTTCTCGGGTGACACACCCTGGAATCAGGCTCCCTCCTCTCTGGTTCTGGGTGTGTCCCCCGACAACTGCAGCAGCCAAGTCACTGCAGCTCCTGCATTGAGCGTCTGCCCCCTGGCGGTCATTGTGCATCATAGCTACCGGCCGTTTAGCTGGTCACTTAGATATATATAATTTCATTATCCTCTCCTTCTTGTGTCCTTTCAGAATTAAGGGTAAAATTAGATAGCATTAATAATCTCTACTGGGATCATTTTTAAAAATGTGAAATTGCAGAAGTGTCCTGCTGTTGGAAATCACCAGAGGAACTTTCTCAACAATTTTGTTAACATGAAAGCTAAAACCTGAAACTTTACTCCTTGCCACTAAAGTTTACCAACTTTTTGCATGAGGCAATGAATACTTTATAGGCTCTAATAACTGAATTTGTAATTAAGCAGGATTTAAAATGGACAATAAAATTATTCAATGGAATATAGAAAATTTTGGGATTTCTTTGCAAGATTATTTTGCAATGTTATTATTAGATCTTATGAAATATACAATTAAGAACAGCCCTATTCCTTTTATAAGCATAGCATCATACACTAGTTAAAATTTCATAAGGACCAAAAGCAGTCTGTTATACTAAAAAATAACTTCCCAGATGAAACTTTTTTTGTGTGCAAGATCTGCTTCTTAGGGTTCATGGAGTTGGCTTTTTGGTTTCTTACTCCTGTTCATGTACTTCTTTTAGTTCTGTTGTTTCCCTCACACGTGCCTGATTGACATTATGATGCATTGGTGTGGGAATTATGAAAAGTTGTTTTCCTGCAGCTGGCCCATGGTTACAAAAGAACTTCACTGCATGAAAAGCAAACATATCACTCAGCAGACAATGCTTAATCTGTGCAGGAGCCCAAACCTATTGCTGTTCAGTGGCAGAAGAAAGGAGAGGGATTAATTTGAAGATGCTTGTGCATGACATATGGTAATTTCTCCATAGGAAGGAAGTGTCAAATGGTGACCTCTAAATCTTAACATTGACCCCCAGTTGTAGAATGTGTGTGCCATACGGTCCTTTTGCCTTTTCATATGATAATTTAAGCTGAACCATTTTCCTGGCAGCATAACTTTTGAAAGAGCATTTTATAAAGACTATAACATTCACAACAATTACTCTTAGAATATAAAGCTTTTGTATAGTAAAAATATTTTTTTTGAACTCCAAAGAATGAACCTATGTCAGGATTCTCCTAATAAGAATATATAGTACATATATTCTTTATAAGTTGGCATATTTTAAATGGAGTTTTGATCATACGAGGGTGGGAAATTGAAATTATTTCAGTGGATATTGGTTTGAAAGATTAGAAAATAATTTATACATAATGTTAGAAAATCATTAGAAAAAATGTAAGACCAATATGAACTTTACATTATGTGATACATTTTCAAAATTGAGTTACACTTTGCTAATTTTTAATGTGTTGACATTTTTTCATGGTTGCCTTATTTTGTTTTAGAACTGTTTCTATATTAGCTGATACATCATTCAAGCTAATATTAAAGAGATCTTGGTTTTAAGAGGAATTTGAACTACACTGTGATTGCTATTCAATAAAATATATCATTTCCATGCTGTGATCTTTAATGACCATGCCTGTCTGATTAAAACATCATTTTTTAGTTCTACATTTACTATATTTTGCCAACTTTGTTTTCATTCTTCACTAATACTGAGCTTTTTTTCAGAAACTGCTGTACCTCAATTCTCTCTTTTTTTATTTCTCCTCTTTTCCTCTGCAAGTTCCTGCACCTGTCATTTCCGCTCGGTCTGATGCTGATCACTCTGGCTCTGACCCCACTTCTACTCCTGCTTTCCATTCCTGTTTCTTAGTAAATGAAGGTATTCTCTCTCAACTTCTACCAACTTTCTTTCAATCTGTGCTTTATTCTAATTTGACATGTTCTTTTTTTAATCTAATTTATACACTTATCTGCTTTGGTATGTATGAGATGGTAAAGTGTCCATGTTCTAACTTTATTTGCTAATGTCATTGATAAGGGCCAATTATAAAAATGTAATGTTATGCCAGGCTGGAATAAACCATGTTTCCTGTATCTAGAATGCTGTTAAAGAGTGGCCCAGATGCTAATCTTTGATGTGAAGTGGGTGTTAAGAGGTGCATGGTTTTCATGATAATGCTTGCCATGGGAACCCTGGTGTTAGAGCTGCCAGTTTATTTTTACCTGTAGCTTACCTGTGAGAGACACACCTTACTCTCTTTACACACCATGTGCCCTGCTTAGAGGGGGATGTCACAGGTCCCTTAATTTACGTTTTCATTTGAAAAGTCTTCACAATGACGATTAGCAGCAGTGATTATAAACTGATGGGAAGTCACCTATTTTATCTTACTGACTATTTCTCTTTCTGGCCGAGTCAAAAATGGGTCCTTTTAGTTTTTAAGATGTAGTTAAGCTATCATATTATCCCTGTGGAGTTACACTAGTGGGAAGTCTTTTTGAAATGGAACCCACAAATCTTTATACCCCACTGGGATTATTTATACTGCCTGGAAGCTTAATGGAACTTGTGAGCTCTTGGCTATATTCACTCTCTTCATTGTGGGTTCAATCTTCACCGGTTTGGTGAAGATAGAAATATCTGATTCACTTTCTAAGAAAAGGGATCAATAAGAACTTTAATATATATCCCTCTGTTGAAAATAATTTATTATCTAAAAGTACATACTCATCACGTTAATTAATGTAATTGTATAGTCTCAGTTGAAGAGAATTTCCCTACTGATAGGATGGATCTTTAGATAGGTGGCTTGTCCCTCACTCACACATTCTCTTTTAACAATCCCAATAATCATTTTGAGGTAGGGTTTTTATTATTGTTAGTTTAGATTATTTTAAAATGTTGATTGGCTGAAATTCTATGATCACAGATAACTCACCTTGTAATGATGGTAGTAAACAAGTGTTTTTGCACTTATTCTTGATTATTTGTCTTTAAATGCTACCCCCCAGGAGGTAATGGTAGTTACTATGCATTCATAGTAGCTTTATATATAATTTGGAAAGAATGTAGCATTTATTGTATATATATTTTTCAGTCGCCTTTGAAATAGGGTTGACATGATTACTTGAGAATGTCTAGATACTGGTACTTTAAAATACTGTGGTGGTTTACGGTGTTTGTCTTCTTCATATAATCAGGTTCCATATTGTGGATTAGAATTTTGGAAAAAGTAACATTTATTCCAAATAATGATGCTTATTTGTTATTAATGCTTAAAATTATGTAAATTTCAGATGATAAGTTTACTATATAGTGGAATGTCTGAATTCACCTACCTCTCAAAATTAGTGTATGTTACTTATTTCAGCTCTGATTGTGATTAAATATCTGATTCACTTTCTAAGAAGAGGGATCAATAAGGACCTTAATTAAAGGCCCTGTGACAGAGAAGGGGACATCTCTGTTGACTGACACGATGGTAATAGAAAGAGGGCCTGGCCTCATGATGGACATGGCCTGTCTTTGGATATCTGTGTGAATGTCCTCGTAACTGAAAGTGGCTTCAAGTCTGTGGCTCTGGAACCTGTTTATTTCTATGCTTTTCCATCCTTGAATATGTACTTGATTTTAGAGGGACTATTTAGAAATGTGTTTTTCATGTAGAATTTGCACATACTTCACACGGAGTGTTTCTGTGTTTTGTGTTTCTGGTATATGTTCATAAAGAAAAACCTTTGAATTAGGGAAGGCCAGAATGTTTACAGTATTTTTAATATGTTACATTTTAATAGGCTGGAGTCAGCTGGCCGCGATGCATTGTGTGATGCTGCCAGATCTGCTGGGACTGGACAAGTTTCGGCCTCCACTTCTAGAGATGCTCGCTCGGAGATGGCAGGATCGATGCTTGGAGGTAATGTCGAGGTGACATGGACGGAAAACAAAATCATTTACAAGGCATTGGACAAGTGTAAATTTTAAACAAGATGATTAATGTATGTCTAATTTCTTATCACCTATTTATTAGGTGATAGGAAATATGGATTCATGATTTTTTTTCAGTTTATGTACTAATAAACAGCAGTGTTTTGCTTGCATATTTGTTTACTTTTTTAACTAGTATTTGATAAAAAGTTTCATATACTTTATGGAACTGGTTCTTAAATATTGCTTTCTATAGATTGTGCACATGTGTTCACACACACATGCAATACACCCACCTCCCCCAAAACCGCATGCTCAGGTATAATCTCACCAGTCAAATTCTAACAGAATAGCCTTTGTCCAATAGAAGGGACTGTGTTATAATAAAAGGAGAAGGTCTTTGGACTAGAAGAGACCTGGATTTAAATATCAGTTCTGCCAATTATTAACTCTGTGACCCTGGGCAATTTACTTAACCTATTTGAAGCTCATTTGTAAAGTGGGGATAATAATATATTACTCATGGGATTGCTGTCAGGGTCAAATAAGGTAATGCAAGTAAAATAGTTAGTGCAGCATCTGACACGCTGTAGGAGCTCAATAAATGATAGCTATTATTTTGTGCTAATGGACTATGCTGTATTAGATATTGCTTGGCATATAATATCACCAGGGACTTGGAAACATTTTAAAGAGATTTTCCTTATTATGGTATTTGACCTATATAGCTGTAGCAGTTTGTATCATTCAAAATTTTTAACTTACCAAATAGAATTAACATACTTGCTCCTTTTCTTGTCTTCCCTCCCTCTATTCCAAGTGGAATTGCAGCATACTAAAATTTTCATGGTTTTGCCTTGAGTAATATTTTAATTCACTTTAAAGTCAATTATAAGTAAAAACATTTTTTATTCAGACTCGTATCAGATGCTATTACCTTTTCCATTATAAATGTTAATTGATTGGTACATCACTGGACAATTGACTAGCTTCTTTAACTCCATGCCTGTGGCACTTTTGCCAAAATAAAAAATAAACTAAAACTGCAAAATAAAAGTTGTTGAAAGAAAAATAAAAATAATATAATTTTGAAAATTAGTGTTCTTCTGTAGAACTCATTACAAGGGAATATATCTGTTGAAAACACGTTGTTTAAGCATCTCTTAGGTATATATGAATGTGTGAATTAATACATGCATGGTGTGTAAACAATACCTATTTAGTGTGTGTGTGTGTGTGTGTGTGTGTGCGTATGTGTATGTATATATATATATATATATATATATATATATATATATATATATATATTATAAAGATTCACTAGCTAGGGTTAAATTTCTTCATGCTAAAAGAGAAGACAAATTTAATAGTTCTAACGACTTTTGACAATATTTATATAGAAATTTTGAAATTGAATGTGCAAAATTAACATGCAAGACTCTTTTAAAAGCTTTTGGAAAAAAGAAAATTTAAACCCAGAGCTGATTAAATGTACAAACATAATTCAGTCTATTAGTGTTAAAATATTTTTCAATGAAAACAGTAATTAAAATGTCTTTGATTTGCAGGCATCCAATTTATTCCACTTAAAAGTCCTTAATTTCCTGTTTGGTTAGTAGTTTTTGTCATGTGGATAAATGTGGTTTATATAGTCTCATTCTGACTTCCTAGTTTTAAACAGCTCACCCGCTGACCTGCTTTTCTCACATTGGGATCTGTGGTCTCAGGTCAGAGAAGCCGCGCAGGCCCTGCTTCTGGCCGAGCTGCGAAGGATTGAGCAGGCGGGCCGGAAGGAAGCCATCGATGCCTGGGCTCCGTATTTACCTCAGTACATGGACCATGTCATGTCACGTAAGAGATCTTATGCGTTTCCACAAAGCTTTCCGTGCTCATTAGAAAAGTACCAAAACAAAAGTGAGTCATTTACCTTCCAGTGAAAACAAGGGCCTCAAATTCGCTCATTCATTTTCTGAAATCCCTAGGGATTGGAGTTTGGTTAGGAAACAAAACAAAACAAAAAGCAAAAGTTATATAAATATCAAGATATTCACTAATGGATTGACCCCTTATAAAATTAATCCCCCCCCCCCAAATCCTACCCTATTTAACACTAGTCTCTGTGTCTGCCCATTGCATTATGTTTAACAAGTGCCAACTTGTTAGATATTGATCATATGATATGCAAGTACAAACACAGGCATATGCTTTCTAAGTTGAAGTTAGGATTGTGAATCCTTCAAAAATAAAGATCTGGTAGCCTAGTGTACTATTGAAAAGGGGAAATTAGCAAGGGTTTGACTAATGAATTTTTCAAATGAGTACAATTTGAAGGGATTGGGAAAGACCTTGGGAAAAATTGTTGAGATTTTATATATATATATTGTTAATCCTCCCCAGAGGATATTTTTCCAATGCTTTTCAGAGAAAGTGGAAGGGAGGTTGGGAGGAAGGGTGGGAGTGAGGGAGGGAGGGAGAGAGAGAGAAAGAGAGAGAGAGAGAGAGAGAGAGAGAGAGAGGAGAGAGAGAGAAAGAGAGATGTGAGAGTGACACATCGATTGGTTGCCTCCCGCACGTGTCCTGATCAGGGGGTAGGGGATGAATCCGCAACCTAAGTAAGTGCTCTTGACTGGGAATTGAACCCATGACCCTTTGGTGCGAGTTTGGGGATGGGGCATGCTCTAACCACTGAGAAATACTGGCCAGGGCAAAATATTTTTTGCATAATGAAACCTTTGTACTCAGTGCACTGAGGAAAAGTTGTATTTGGGCATTCATAATTTTTTTTTTTCATTTTGGAAAAGGTATGCTTCATCCCAGTTCAGCATTTGAGTCATTCTTTATTTTCCTAAAGAAGAATTCAGAATTAAAATTTTAATCTGTTATGAGTATAAGATAAATAAATCCATTTTAGACTTTTTAAAGATAAAGTCTCAATGAAACTTTATAAAAACATTTTACTCTGAAAATTTGGCCTGGCTTTTAGGTGGATTCAATTTAAATGACCTTTTGCCAATACCAGTTATTCCTGTTAATGAGATACTCATTACATATGTCAAGAGAGACAATGCATGATTGTATAAGAAGGAAATGAAAACCAGATTCAAACAGGATTACAATTGTTATAACTAGTATAACTCTACCAGATGTTTGCCAGTGGTGACTACAGTGGTTGTTTACTTAGGTATGTGACCTTGGACACTTAACCTTTCTCAGTCCAGTTTTGTCACAGATGAAATGAAGATAGTGAGACATTATAGGATTATTCTGAGGATGGAATGAGTTAATCTTTGTTAAGCATGCCAAACCATGCGTAGGCCATGGTAAGCACTATATCTTTATTTATTTTAAAAAATATATTTTATTGATTTTTTACAGAGAGGAAGGGAGAGGGATAGAGAGTCAGAATCATCGATGAGAGAGAAACATCGATCAGCTGCCTCCTGCACGCCCCCTACTGGGGATGTGCCCGCAACCCAGGTACATGCCCTTGACCGGAATCGAACCTGGGACCCTTCAGTCCGCAGGCCGACGCTTTATCCACTGAGCCAAACCGGCTACGGCTATTTATTAAATAAGTGCATTCATAATCTGTAAATGCAAATATGTCTTGCACATATAATTAAAACATCACAAATTAACTATGCGCAATTAAAATTCTTTAATCTGTTTAGGGAAGACTATTTACTGAGAGAATATTATTTGTTATTTGCTTACTGGGGATTTTTTCATTTTAATTAAAGGAAGTTAAAAAACAGGGTTTTTAGACATTAAAAAGACTTGTAAGTTATTAGGCTTAAAGCTCTCACATAAATATTTATGGGTTTATAATTTTTGTTGAATATAAAAAAGTTTAAAAAAATAAGATGGGATGAAAAAAGCTCTGCTTTTGCATATTTGCAAGTTTGGAACAGTGCTCTTTGTTCAGTAGCATGTGGCATTAAGTTTACAATCTTCCAGACAATAGAATGATCTCATCAGCTCATCATAACCTTATTGAATAAAAGATCCCCCAACTTAAGGACCAGTATGAGTATAGTACTATAGAGCAGATTGAAGGTGAAACTAAATAGCAAATCACTAGAGATTCTTTTAAACGGAGAACAACTTGGCCCACGTGGCTTGAGCATCTACCTATGAATCTGGAGGTCACAGTTAGATTCCTGGTCAGGGCAAGTACCCAATCCCAGTGTGGAGCCTGCAGAAGACAGCTGATCAATGATTCTCTCTCATCATTGATATTTGTCTCTCTTTCCCTCTCCCTTCCTCTCTGAAATCTATAAAAATGTATATTAAAAAAATAAAACAAAAGAACACTATTATGAAAATAATTAGGATCATTTTAAAGACATTTTATTTAGAATGGACTAGTGTAGAGTGGGAAAATTGATTAAAGTAGAATAAATAGCTGGGAGGCTGTTACAGAAGGGAATGGGGACCCAGACCTAAATATAGAAGGGGTAGAATAGAAGATAATTCTGAGCCTTGATTACAGATTGCATATAAAGGTCTAAGAAAAACACCAAAGATTAGCACAGCCTTGTATTCTTGACAGTTTGGGAAGAGAGATGCCATTAGCAATGGTGGTAGATTCCATTTTATATTTTTCTTGGAAAGAAGAGAATGAGTTAGGTACAACATAAAGGCATTACATGATCACAGACTACTCCCTGAAGCAATGATAAACATGTATATGTTGCTAGGTGAGATGTCTGTTAGAGTCCAGAGAGGGTACAATACAAGTAAAATAATGATAACATCTACCACTTTCTCTGTCAGGCTTTTGCTACCTACTTGGTCTGTATTATTTCACCAAACTATTGCAGTAACCCTGTTAAGTAGGCACTATGGTCACTGTCACCCCTACTTTCCCCCCTCCCCCAAATGAGTTAATTGAGGCCATGAGAGATTAAAGCTCTTTCTGAAGGTCCCTCAGTGACTAAGTAGTTCTCAAACTACAAAGCCCATGATCTTAACCACTGTTTATTGTCTTCTTCCTCCAGCATCCTTAGATTTTAAATAGAATTGGGAGTGGAAGAATGAATGGATATTTGGCTTAAATAATCTTGCTTTTAGACAATGTCATTTTAGCTTTATTAAATTTAACAACCATAAAATGGAGCACAAAAATAACTGTAAAAAATTACTCATAATGGTTCGCATCATTATTTAAAGAAGCATAAACTAGATTGTTTTTGGTCAAATTTAAACCTTTCCATTAATGTAAATTAAAGTCCTTGGTATTTAGTTATTATATCCTGGAGTACTTTATAAATTAACTGAATGCTGGCTTATGTAAAATTTTAATCTTATCACTTACTGCAATTGTATTTTTTAGTAAAACAGGCATTATACATATAACTAAAACATCTTACTCCAACAACTCTTGCTATAATATATTAATCTATTCTGGAACTTTTATATCGACTGGGTGTAAAATTAGTTTTAATTTGCTTTGCCGGGAGCTTTCTAGTTTAATAAAAGGATGTCAAGCTAAGGAGCAGGGGTTCTGAATGTGTGAAAGGAGAAGAAAGCATACAGCAAATGAGGAAGGACCACATAGGGCTGCTGAACAGATTTGCTGTCCGAAGGGATCAAAGGTTATGGAGCCAGCTGGTGGGCAGCCCACACCTGCCATCAACATGCTTGTAGTGAAGTCGCTTCTGCCATTGTCATTCATGTTTGAGGAGTTGGTGATTGTAGCGAGTTGCAGCATGAAGCAATCTTTTAGAAACTTGAAAGTTATTCTAGCATAGGAATCTTCTTAATCACTAAAGTAGGTAAAATATGAAGCAATATATCTGGCAAATACACTCATCTGATATTTTCTTATACTTTAATCCTCCTAAGCACTTAAAAATATGCAATAATTGCCTAAGCAATATTGGCAGCTCCTAACTTATCACTGAGCTTGATCTAAGAGTCCCTTGGTTAGTTATTTGAAACTCAGAAAATGCTTTTACCTGAAGAGCAGGGTGTCGTACTGGGCTGGTGGACTGTGATGGCCATTTGTCTTAGAGATGCGGAGTGAAGTTGCAGGTGTCTAGCAACTTTCTCTGACTTCACAGTCAATAAGTGAGTGAGCTGGGATGACCAGTCAACTGGCCATGTTGACTGGGGTCTTCTGGAATTTTAGATGCAATACGAGCCTTTTGTGGGTTTGTCTGAGAACGTAAGGAAAGCAGTGGGCCAGAAGCCAGTTGCTTTTCTTAGGTCTATTGAGAGCTCTGAACGAGAAGCTTTGGACAGCACCCAGCCCAGTATATACATAACACAGGCAGGGACTGTTGGCTGGCCGTCCCCTTTCCTTCCCTGTGCCGGATTCTATAGCTTCGTTCTCCTAACTGTCACTGTCTCAGAATTGACCTTTCTTTATATTGCCCAGGGATTCTGGCAGTGGACCAGAAGTCACTGGGGAGGCAAAGCAGCAATAGTCCACCTTAACTGAATAGCCAGTTCACAAATTTTCACTAAAACCAAGTCTTAATTGAGTGATATAAGACTTCTGTTTCAGGTAATGGAGCTCTGTTCCTGAACCTGTTAGGAAACATTCTGTCCCTTGCATATACAGTCAGTATGTGTGCTTTTAATGCCTAATTTCTGGTAGAAAATTAGAGGTTAAGTGCATTGTGATTCTTACTCTCACAGTAACAGGACTGGAGTGATAAATAGTAGATACATTTTAAAGTGACATAAGTGTTGTAAATATTTTCTGAGTTATCACTCTTTAGCATGTATATGCAATCACTTTTATGCTACAAAACACTTAAAATTTTATTGATTATTCTTAATAAGAAAGGATTAATGCTGTTTTCTGCTGTCATATTATAATTCAGATGAAGATAAAATATTAT